GGACTAATTACAGAGTTAACTGCTGAGAAATTCCCGCGACAGCTAAGTCCTACGCAAACAAAGTTTTGGCTGAACTTCGAAACGTGCTAAATGGCAAAGTTGTTCACTGAATTCACGGTTTATCCGTCGTCGGCGAGTTTTCAGTAACCTCAGGTGAGTCTCTCAAAAAACCAAATTCGTTTGCAAATGAGTGTATTTTGCCCATGTTTTTCACTTGTTTGCGTGCACATAAACTGTAGCGTCATACTCTTTCAAGTTTGTCGGGAGGGGGGTGTTGTTGAACAGAATGTTAGTCGCCTGTTGTGTGCGGGGAAAGATCTCGAAAGACAAAACATGTGTCCAACACAAACGGAAAAATTAATTCTATTCCATCTAAACACAAACACACGTGTTGCAAAGTTTGAACAGTGGGGGTGGAAAGATATGGGGTGGTTAACGAATGAGGGAGGAAAACATAAAATCGCATAATACAAACCGGATTTAACGAAGATTACATTGAATTTCGGTGTCGTTCACCAGAATGTGCTACACACAGACCGTCTAATGTTTCATTGGGTACGAGGATCGGAATACCGTGGTATACTTTTACGAGGGCAACTGGTTACAAGGTCGCTGAAAGCTTTTCGGCCGCCCACTAATGGTATAACGACGCATACTACTGATGAGGGATGCAAGTAGTATGCGGTTTTCTTGTAACTCAGTCTCGCTTCTAAAAGAAGGTGTATTCCATGGAGTTCATTACAGAACCTGTGGAACAGCTTCGCAGCATTCCTTTACAACTGTGTGATAGTCAAGGAATATTCACGAAAGCTCTAGAAGATGCTGGGTACAGTTCAGTTTTTAAAAATAAGGTTGATATGAGATGTTTACGTTCCTGTCCAATAGCTTTTAAACGTTTAATTGATGTACGCCTTCGCAGCGAGGGGCTTTCATCCTCACACTAGTAAATGAAGTCCTTGCGTTTCTCTCCGGAGTCTTGCGTTCCACGCGAATTCATTTCGAACGAATTCTCAGCTAAATTTCTCGTTCATGGTATTTTTTGACTGAACGTGGTGCAACAAGTGCACTTCAGATGTCTGTGCGCATTCACACTGAACTGAATTCTACCCGCGTAATTTATTTAGATGGGTGCACTTTGAGTTCCAATAAAACGTAGAGTCCACCGAAGGGATATTTGGGGTGCACGCCCACTTGAGTAGCTCCGTAAGGGGAAGCCGGTTAGGGACTACTTAAGTAGCACTTAAGTAGTAGTACTTGAGTAGTACTTATAAGTAGCATTCCGTCAACAAGACAAGTGGAAGGGTCATATTAAGTGAGTTATTTGATACAACTCAGTTCGGACGCGTCTATAAAGAGATACATCCATAGCAAACACAGCCCTGCCGTCATTACCGATTCATTATTAACGTCCCGCGCTAAAAGAACGTCTAACAATGATAAACGGTTTTTTTTCTAGTGGGGGCATAGTACAAACGTTGTCTTGGAACACGTTACCAGACGCTTCCCGTAACGCTTCTGCTGCGGGCGGTTTTTATCGGCTTCTCCCTCTGATTAGTCTTGGAATATTGCATGAGTCTCGTAGACCGCTTGGCACTTTTTGGCCAAACGGTGTATTTGATTTGTAGCGCGCCAGAATGAGACAATGTACTTTACCATCATGGATGGCCGTTATCAAAATTCTGCCAAGAGTGGATTACTCCCCCCTCCCCGCCGTCCCTAGAAAACAAGCATGGGGACATTTTTAGATAACTTTCAGGTACAGAATGGTTTGTGAGTTGGACTTGAGGTTGGTCTATCTCCGGGGAGATCAGGACAGAGATCAGTGCCCAGTACATCTAACGATATAATTAGAATGTAAATGGATGTACCTGTACAGGTTTCTTCCAAATCTCGGCAATGAGCACAAGAGTTTTCCATCTGCGTCTTGATGGATATTCAGTAATCCGGGAGAGGACAAACCACGCAGTAGCATGCTGTTGACTCGCGAGCTCCTGACGCCGCCTGGGCTTTTGGAAGCATGTTGCCACATTTGTTATTGATTAACTTGGGTGGGAGCGTCAGCATACGTACTGCACACAGAACCGAATCCACGATGCAATGAACACTTGCACTACGTGCGATGTAGTACCCATTCCCCCACAGCCTTATCGTCCATTACATTTTTAGCATCCCGATGATGTAAACGTCCAGAGAATTTGGGCTTTCCAACGCGAAACTCACCAGTCACGTTGGATGACCAGGCTGAAGTGCGTCGAGACATTGGCGGGCTTTCCTGGCAGTTCAGTTGACTGCGAATCGCTCTGGTAAGCGGGAGGGTATGATTCAAGTCTTATATCTGATGTATTCTGTGTTTGTTCGCTTCGATCTCATCCGTAGACGTGCCACGGCGTGAAACGTTTACAGATTCTTCAAAAGGATGTTTGCCTGTTTACAACGGTACCACCTCAGAGTATAATTCACATTATTTGTTCACAAACACAAACTGTCCTGGCTATTGATCAACCTTTCTTCAACCTGCTCATAACATATTCATCCCAACAGACTGCTAGTAAAACAGCTGTTTGTTCCAGAGCATTCCCTCCAGAACCACAGATTCAAAGTAGTGTGAACTGTCTCGTAACTTTCTCGGTAAGTGTTGTATCGTAGGTGGCCGTCTATTGATTAAGCCTGCACCGAGCCTGCCAGACTAAGCGATAGGGAGAAGACAGAGAACTCGGGACACGGTTGTATTGTCTGCGTAAATATATAGGATGACTAAATGGCCAAATATGGTCGTTCATTTGTTCTTTTTGTACAGCCAATGGTGGTGTTCCGGTCGTGAGCACTCTCAGGCCCACTACACTGGTCGTATGTTGCTAAGCCGTGTTCAGTGAGAGCCACCAACGCACCTACTTTCCGGACGTCTCCTATCTTGGGGATGAGTCACTCTCTGCACCTGTGCTTTTTCATATCTGTGTGCGTCCTGACATCAAGTAAACCAATGTTCTGAAAAGCTCAGAACCACTGTACAGCTGTCTCATCTGTACTGGGAATAACTACCGGTAAGCATCTCATCTCGTGAGATGCTTACCGGTTTCGAACCCACGACCCTCTGGCCAGTGGTTGAATGATTAACCGTTTGGCCACCAGTGGCTGATCAGCAGTGTGACACATCGCCTTGTATGTGAGTCATTTCTGTCTGGCAGACGTTTTCTCACGTGATCCGACCAGAATTTGCGATTTCAGATGACTTGACCAGATATTCTTCTGAATTCTTGGCTTGCATGCGCTGCTTGGTTGTTGATCTGTTTGCAGAGCTTAGAAGTTTGGGTTGCAAACGTTTTATTACCAATCGAGGTGAAGTGGTCAGTGGCGTCGCGCGTAAATATATATGTACGAAAAGTTTTCCTAAGACATTATCAGTCCATTATGCTCCTCAACAAGCATGCAATTATTTAGTATTTCTCGTGAGGCAATATTTTAAGACATGAGAACAAACAGATGAACTTCTAATCTTTCTGTTGGCTGTCCGTTACGAGTTGCGCTATATGAGTAAAACATCATGGTTGCCTGGTCAGATTAACACAAATATTGTATACATTAAGCTGTCTTGACAATTGGTCCCAACTCCGCAGTGATACACCTGTTGATTCCCTTCTTCTATTTTCATATTGTACAACGCGATTCCCCCTTTTTGTTATTTTGGTTTGCGCCTACACCAGCCTTCTTGTTTTTGACCTGAACATAAACCGTTATCCGACCTTGTCATCGGACGTTGTTTAAGTTCACACTTGATTTCACTAGCTTGTAAACATGTGGCTTTGAGTCGGCGTGAACTTCGAGATCCGTTAGGAATTAGCAGTTCCTAAACCGGTGTATAGAAACCGGCATAGTTCCACGATTTGTGAAGTTTTATCATTTTATTATTGTACTTATAGTACCGCATTTGTAGATAAACCTCCATTTGAAAGATTTGGCTTTTGGGGTTTTGCGCGTAACTCGACAGAATGCTGGAATCAATCTATAACACCGCTCTACCTCATCGTTATTTTCTGCTGCATACAAGCATCATTTTCATCGTCTGTCAACTGAGTACGTAATTAATAGCCCTCAATGTGTGAATAATTTATTCCGCCTTGGTGTTTTGCCAAGATACTACTATCGAACGATTTGTGCGAAACCTCTTGCATTCTTAAGTGCATATACTGATCGATGTACAAACCAGCGGTTCATAATGGGACGGTTTCATCTACTGACTGGGCCTTTCTCAGACTGATTCAGGGACACAAGGCATCGAAATTCTAGGGTATTACTTTATCGCTCATGGGCACTACAATTTTGATACACGACTATCATCAATAATCTCGGTTAGATATATTTGGAATGAGTAAATCGGGTTAGTTTTGTTCGGCTTTTTTCTTAGCCATAAAAATGGTCAAACCAAATCCCAAAACCCATAGACTGACTTTTAATCTCTCGACAAAAACACGTTATATACCATCATGGATACCTCGGAATATTTAATATCCAAATAACGGTTTCCGCAACTTTTTTCAATAAAAAGGGTGTAGTTGTGACATTATGATTAGAACGTGAAAACAAATAACGATGTTGGAGAAAATTGCATGGCGCTGGTCGTTTTCAAACCATCTGTAATCATTCATCTTCTCTCAGTGAACGACGTTCACCTCAGCTCAGCTGATCTCTTGTCTGAACCTCTCCTTCGTTCTGATTGGACAATTTTTAGACGGCGGATGCAGATATCGCTCGCCGATTGGCTTATCGGCGCTCAGCTGATCTCTTGTCTGAACCTCTCCTTCGTTCTGATTGGGCCAATTTTTAGCGGCGGATGCAGATACCGCTCGCCGATTGGCTTATCGGCCCAGTGCAAGCAGACATCGTTTCTCATCATGTAGATTCAGATAACCACAAGCATTTGATCAGAACAGGAAGATGCAGTCCTATTCTACCCGGTGTGATACAGATGTTTCACGATACAAACCTTCAATGCCTTTCAAGAAATGAGCTGCCATCATTGTGTTTTCCGAGACCAAATTATCTACGCGTGTCTCTATATTTCAATCCATTGGATGCTTGTTCACGCTAACTGGGAAGAAACTTTGAACCGAATTCAACGTAGCAGTCGCAGTGGGCGCACAACGAATGAAGAACTGGAAAGACTAAGCTCAGCACTTAATCGATATTCACATGAGTATCCATTTCTCCAACCTTTGCCATCTAATTTTCGGCTGCCTTATGATACGAACTCTAGCTTTTTCGATAGCACAAACATCACCCTTGCCGATGGAAGCACGATAGGCGCTGCAAACAGCTCTCAGCGACATTTTATGAATGAGTCAGAAATAGACTCAGTTGAAAGTCTGCCGTTGCAGTCAGATGATTTATTCGTGGACAGCCAACTCCCCCCACCCCATGATGTCGTTAAATTCACAGAACCGAAAACCCACGTGCAACATCGATGGTGGCTCCTATCCGAGATTTGTATGTCCATTGTTGCCATGGTTACACACAGTGTGTGGTTATTTCTCAGCACATTCCGACTGTTTACTACACACGTGACTGCTAGAAAAAGGCTGCTTCTCTTGAGGAACGATCGATTAAGTGCGCTTCTTGACCAGCAATCCTACCAGCTACCGCCTTCCGGAAATCGCTCCTCAGATAAATGCCTTTATTATGGCCTGCAGTTTCATTTGGGTTGCATTGGCTTCGTGTACGCGTTGTCTTTTCTAATCGGGAAATCGTTTCGCCTATCACATTCACCTCTTACAAGACCTGGTTCAACCTTGAAGAAATCCTCCCCCAGCCCTTGGAACACATTCCAGATCATTTGCGACATCACCCGAACGACATCCTTGATCTTGCTGACCGTCTACTGGTTGAATTTGATGATTTTGTGTGTGCTACATGTGCGACTCCTGAAAAGTCTGCTCAAAGTACCTTTTGCGAAGTCGGAACAATCTAGAGGGGAGCATTTTTTCTACTATTTTCACTTTGGCGCTTCGTGGATTTATGGAATTCTACTTCGATTAGCATCTCTTCTGTTCACTAATTTCCCAACAGTTCAAGGTCCCATAATGGCTAGCAAATCACCCGCTGCTCCAGCATTTGGTGTGCGGATCCTCTCACTTGACTGTCAACTGTGTTTGGAAAGCGCGCCCGGAGATACCAGTCCTCAACTGACATGTACTTTCTCTTCGGTCGAGTTACTATTAGAACTGGTGATCGATTTTTTAGGTGATTTTGCACCTGTCATCGCTGTCACTATTGTTAACGCCCTGTTATTCTCGTTAGTACTGAAATGGAACAGAATGAGTAGAAAGATCAGTGAATCTACCGTCATATTCGATGGGCGGGGGGAAAGTGAAGGGTCGCGGAACGTGTGCACAAATGAAAATGGTCGCGCAAGTTCCGTGGACATTCACGAAAGATGCACAGGAAACAAACAGCTCAGGATATATCTTGGGATATTCCTATCCGTCATTACTCCACTCGGATGGACTGCCTGTATTAATCAGGTGACCAGAATAACCAATCACCTGCTGTTTGTATTGTACTCCTTAGTTTCTTGCAAATCCACCAACACTTGGTTTTCAAGTGAGTACAGCTCAAAACACCCTCATTATTGGCCTAATCATGCCAACGATTTGATTGAAATTGCTATTTTAGCCTGCATTCCAGTGGGGCTTATTTCCGCCCATTGTATTCCAAGAGAAAACAGACAAACAGCCCTTGATATGGAAGAGTCAGAGCCGCCGGCTTGCACCACCAGCTTTACTGTGGACAACGAAGCAATCACGTGCCCTAAACCTTTGATCACACCCTTTGAACTTCTGCAGCTGAATGCTCTCAGCAGAGCCGAATTTACTTCACAACAATTCACACCAACCACGACAGTAAGCATACAACCGGACTTGTGTACTCAACTGTGTCCACCGACAGATCTTTCATTGTGTTCCAATTTGAAAACAAGTTACGTCCCCATTTCTGTGCAGGTAGTGAGTCTGCCAACCTTTTGTTGCCAACCGTGTACTGTGGCGATCGATCAAGCTACGGTTACACCTGAGACACTGGCGGACCAGTCCTCTTTGTCAAGGGCTCACAACAGACCTTCGTTGGAACGGGGTGAGAAACCAGTGGAAATGTATATAATATCTCGAGCAGATGTTCCTTCCCAATTATAGATTAAGATTATTAATCCATATATTGATTTTTATCTGGTTCTCAGTAATCTAATTTATCGATATCATACAAGAACGAAGAACTGAGTCTAACTATAAGACTAAATGGGGGTTAATCTCGAATACGTGTAGAACAGACTTGCCTTCACAAAATGCCTAAAGCGATGGGTGGCTGACTATATTCCGGCGGGGGAACGTGTCTTGAAAACGAATACGGTCGGTACGTGAGTGATCTTGACCTGTCAACTTGACTAAAATACGGGCCGAGATTGACCTACTGTCAAACAGTTCAAAAAGCTATTCATTCAAACATGATGTGTTTTCGTGAGCTTCCTCTCTTGATGATTGCTCACACTGGAGTGGGCGAATTGTTTTCGAGGCAGGGTACATAACGAGCTACACCTTGGTAAAAAAAACTGTTCAAGCTATCTGAGGGAAAGACGAACCGTTGTTTAGTTTAATTTCTCAACAAAAGTTTGAAATACAAGATAACCAATGAAAATTGAGAGAAAAGTCCACGTGAAATGTTTTCTAAGCATATATAACTGTCTGGACAAATGAATGCACGAAT